GTACTTGTAGAGAGATATTTTAAAGTGGAAGCAGTACGGCTTCAATGAAGTTTTTATTGTGTAAATATAAAACATTGTTTTTAATTATTTATTATGATTTTTAAAAAATTAAATACAAGTGCCGGTAGTGCATATGTATATAAAATATATTTGTATAAAAATAACTGTGTGTATCAATCTTGTTTGCAAGTATCATAAATTGGATACATATCGGCATTTATTTAACTTCTAAATCTAAATTACAATTTAACTCAAGTTTAGGCTATTTGAAATTGTAATACGTTACGTAATAAATTGGAGGCTCTTCTGGTATAAATTGTAATACGTAACAAAGCAAATAAATTATTTCTTTACATTCAGGCGACCACTGCTGAGTTGTCCAGTTCCTGTAGGTCGATCGCTTTTTCCTGTGCTCATGTGGGTATGAGGTCGTAAGGAATCATGGGAGGCTTTAAGGATGTCTGGCTTATCAAAGGTGGATCCATCGTGGATTATCTGTTGCAGAATGTAGAAGTAAATGCTATATATTTAAAAATATATCTCATACTATTAATGACATGAGAACAAAAATAATATTATACTTCGAAAGAGAACGCTCAGAACAAAAGTAATTCAATCACTATTCAGCTACTGTGTAATTTATAATAGCGATTTCAATAAAAACACGTCTATATGAAATTTTAATATTCCAATGCAAAACTTTTTTATAAAACTTAGTTTACTGATTTACTTTAAACAAATCTAATTAATTTGAGGAATAGCAAGATTGATAAAATATTGGCATAAAGCTACAACATATTTTGGACAGTTATAAATTTAAAGAAACATTATAACTTATTTTCTTTCTAGGATTAATCTTTAGTGGGTAAATTCTGAACAGCTGGCTGTACCTCAAGGTTAGAGTGATAGGTTTGAATTAAATTTATGTGTTTGACAAATGTTGTCGTTACAAAACGAGTTGTTGTTGTTTGTTCGACACAAAGCTACACAAAGGGATATCTGTGCTCTGTCTACCACGGGTATCGAAACCCTGCTTCTAGCAGTATAAGTCCTTAGACATGCCGCTGTGCCACTGGGGGGGGGGGGTCTACAGAACGTGACTAAAAGCAAAAAAACAAAGTCCCGCAGTTCTAGATATGAAACACACATGGCGACGTAAAGTCTTAACAAAATTTTCAATATAGAAAAAAGTATCTAATAAAAGTGTAATAGTGATCACTTGCCTTTTTACTTGGCTGGGTCAAAACGATGTCATCGACTGTTAGTAAAACTTTTCTTCTCATTTCCTTGAAAATAAGCTTCTTCCTGTAAAAGAATTTATTTCTTGGGTTTAGAAACGAACAAAATTTTTATCATTTTCAAATTTGTCTTTAGTTTTCTCGGACAACTTGACTTAGTCTTATGTTGCCTACGAGATCTCAAGATTTTCATATATATTAATAATTAATTTGAGCCTATGAAAGTTTCCTTGGTTTGTTCTTTTAGTTATATTACAGTTTAAGATAACTCCAATCGATTTACGACACCTAAGCTGTTGAATGAGACACCTGTTCTTAGCGTTTACCTTAGTTTAAAACACTAGAAGCACCAAACAATGCTGAATGAGACACCTGTTCTTAGCGTTTACCTTAGTTTAAAACACTAGAAGCACCAAACATGCTGAATGAGACACCTGTTCTTAGCGTTTACCTTAGTTTAAAACACTAGAAGCACCAAACATGCTGAATGAGACACCTGTTCTTAGCGTTTACCTTACTTTAAAACACTAGAAGCACCAAACAAGTTATATGGCCCTAATTTGGAGGGGGGTCATTAGTCCTGTATGTTATTGTTACAACAAGAACTAATAACTTTTATTTTTATTTTTACAGACGCTTTGAGACGATTACATTTATTCAACATGTTTCTAGAACAGACTAGAGTTTGCGGATAATACACCGATAGGCTATATCTCGTTTCTCTTAATGATACATATTTTATTTTTGGTAGAATTATACATTTTCTATATCACCTTACTATTTTGTTCTGAAGACCAAACGAGATTCCACACTGCAAGTCTGCTTGCTAAGCTATTATGTTTCAATGCTACAAGTCCTCATAGTCTCGCAACTTTACGAATTATAGTGCTAAATGCTATTTTTGAAGGACCTCGGAAAAAAAGTCCTGCCCATTTCCGTCCTAACATGATGTAAACACCAAATATTGCTATATTTCATTCACAGCAACTTAGCTGGTTCGAGCCTTGTTCGGTAAGTAAAGACATAGACGTGAGCCCTGCTTAGATAATTTTCTGTTCATTTCAATAATTTACATTATTATACTGGAAAAAGTTTAACTATCAACGTTTCGACGCAACGTTTTAGTTAATTCTTGCTATTAAATGTACTTAACTCTGTTTTGGATGTGGCATACTTAAGAAACCATTCAGACCGGCTTCTTTTGGCTTTTTAATCTTTTCTTTTATGTTTGAAAAACTTTCTTGATATCCCTAATATTACTACCGAGTTACAATACAGCTAATTTACTTAATCAAATTACGTTTTATTTATTGGAATTTGGTTGCTTAACAAACTACCTTTTTAGTTTGTAATTAAGCACAAAGCTACACAGTGGGCTATCTGTGTTCTGCCCACCACGGGTATCAAAACCCAGATTCTAGCGTTGTAAGTCCGCAGATATACCACTGTGCCACTGGAGGGGTAGCCTTTTTAGATTACGTTTCAGTTTATTTTTATTGGTGGTGGCTTTGTTTTCTAATTATTAATAGTTTGGTAGTGCACAAAAAGCTTCTTTGCTAGTGCTAATTTCCTATTTGTTTATGATAGTACTCTCCTTTGTTTCTATCTTGTTGTGGAATCAACAGACCTGACAGAGAATGTTTTTCATAACACTTATTGACAATAGTTCGTTCTATCTTTTTGTTCAATTAAATCGGATTTCAATGTTAAAATATAAGTCAGTTCTTTTTTTCACGATATCACCGCTACACTAATGTTTACATAATAGTATATATAGAAAGTTTAATAATCATCTTATAAATTAATAAATTGTAACATGTTTACGTAAATCCGTGTGCAAGCTTTCAAGTCACTAAGGCGAATTTTGTGAGCAAAAAACACTGTGGATTTAATTAATCAAAGGGTATTTTTAAGTGCTATAAAACTCATTATACGCTTTTTTGTAAATATTAGTCTAAGTTTGTTAGATATGCTTCATCATACTGTAATTAGTTTCTGATTATAAGGCTAACAGAACAAGTACTGAAAATGTCTCGAAAGTGTTTAACAATTCCAATCTGTTGCTGAAAACCTTTTATCAGGATACATAATTTGGTAACTAAAGAGTTAAAAACAAATTTCGCAGTTTTCAGTTAGTTTGTGTAACATCATCCAGTCGAAGAAAATTTACTGTGCTCATTGCTGTGTGCTTGAACGAACGTTTGCTACTTTATATGTTCGAAAATTACAACTACGTTTTTTTTTTAATTCTACTCAGATATGAGTAGTGTAAAACAGAGGTTAGGACTTATTGAATATTCAAACTGGTGTATTTATTCAATTATTGAATATTGTTCCGGTCTGCGAATCGAAAGGTTCAAGGTACTGCAATATGCCGTTGAATACGTTTTACACTTTCAGTTGTGGTGGTTGTTAAAACTGTCACAGTTAATCCCATTATTAGTTTAAAATAGCTCTGTAGGAAACAGCTGCTTCTTACTGGTTGCCGTTCTTTTGGTCAGCACTTCTAACTCAAAGATCTCTGACTTGGCTGTTTATCCCATACGTTGCAAAAGGTGACATTCAAGTTGAAAATACCAACAAAGATGAGGGTTAGTAGGCGTTCCTCGGTTTTCGGTATTTCTGATGCTTCTACCTTAAATATGTCTACCAATTAAAATAAATGTTAACTGCCAGCAACCTCTCCAAACCTACCTGTTTAAAAACAGACCTAATGTAATGAGTTGTAGAAGCCCCATTACAGTGACGTCATGCAGCTATTTGTTGTTGTTTTGTGTTTTTTTTTGGGGGGGACGATGGGTACAGTTTGAAAACAAAGTACTTTTGTTATTAGTGGTGAGTTAATAATAATAATCATACAAACAATAATACATGGGGTGCCTTTTAATTTTCATATCATTAAATTTCCATTGTTACTTTGGTTAACTTATTGGTTTTAAATACAGACAAATATTTTGAACATATTCAATAAAATGTTTATACATGGATTTGGGATTATCTAAACAATGTATGGAAAGCATTTGAGGGAGAGGACGTACCCACCCATGTCCTGTGGGTACGACGCCACTCTTCCATTGTAATTACAAGCTAATACCCGTATATCAGAATGCCTTTACGATCATTTGGCAAAATTTATACTGATTTGTTCTAATTTTCACTACCTGGTGAAATATCTTGTATGGCAGAATGTCACACGACTTGCCGGGATTGCTTACGTTTATAAATGAGCACAAAATTTATTTAAGTTTCTTTTCCAATAGATGTAATAGCAAGTGGGTATTAAAAAAAATTGAAGTATTAAAACTTTATTTACATAGAATACATTTTCATATATTTATATGTGCGGTCTTTTTATAATTTGTAATATGGTTTCTATATGCTTTTATGCCATTTGATTTTAAAGCATGTATATTAATTTCTATGTTCAACAAGAAATTAGAGTATTCTAAATATATATATGAGTGATATAGATATATATTAGACAGATAACAAGATAATTAATGAAAACAAAGTTGACAAATGGACTGTGCTGCTCCCTACCTGACGAAAGCAGTAATCCCGAGAGCTCCAGCGACACAGATTAACAAAGCAACAATTACTCCGACAGTTTCTTCAGTATTCAGAGCAGTATCTGGTAAAAAAATTAGAATCTCTTTGAATTGGTCGATTAACCAAGGTAAAAATGACTTATGAATGTATTAAAATATATTTTAAATAAATTAGTTTGGTTATTTTATTTCTAACTGAATAAGTGTTCGTTACATATTTAATCTGCTATCTTCTCTGAGTAAATTAAAAAATAAACATTACAAAGATAACGATTCCGCATATTGAACTCAATCAGAACCTGCATATAAAATTCGCAAAAATAATAAACATTATTTTGTATATGTTCTGTAATTATGTTGAACTTCAATAAATAACTTATAAAGTGAGTATTTATTCTTTTAACTGTTTATTTCAAAGTTGATAATTTTAAAACGTCAAGGTCTTTTTTTTTTCAGCACATTGCTTCTACTTTGAAGTATCGGTCACGTGATTTCGACAAGCATGCGAAGCTCTTTGTCAAGTCAGAAACTTTATGGCTAACTCTTCAGGGATTTAATAACTGTTCTAATAAATTCTTCGCTCAACTTTAAGATCTTCCTACTTTCAATGTATTAGTATAACTATTTTATTACTACTAAACACCAGATTTTTAGCCTAAATAAAGTTAATAAATAAATGATTATGTTTTTAAGACAACAAGAGTGTTCATTAAATACTTCTGAATTCAACTATTTTACCAATATACATCTAAATATTGAAACATCTATACAGATATATATATAAGTATAAACAATAATTATATGCATATATACACACAAACATAAAAAATACATATATAAATATGCACAAGTACGTGTATACCCACGTAGGAATACAAATGATATAAGAATAAATAAAAACCATATAACCCGAGCGCTTTCGAAAGGTGAACCTTTCTTCTTCAGAGGCAAACTAAAGAAGAAGAGTCCACTTTTCGAAAGCGCTCGGATAAAAGAGTTCTTACTCATTTCTATCAAGACTTCTTGAATCTACGTGTTTTTCTAACATCATGAATGATATAAGAATAAATCAGATTTTACGTTAAGATCAAACCACATATATTAGTAGCTTTTACCCTAACTACATTTTTCTTAACCAATTAAGCGTGGACCTAATATTTGTAGATAAACATATATATATATATATATATGTGTGTGTGTGTGTAAATACTCTGTCTTAGGACAAACAGGATCTTAACCTACAACTAGGCCTTTATACAAAACGCAGTTAAGATTTATTTACGCCTATTATAGTGTACTAGCAGAAACGCCGCCCTAAGGGCGGCTGTTCGGTCAGGATCTTGGCGAGCTAAGCGGTGTGCTTCTCTGTCACAAAATTGCTCCTGACTTCTTCTAGCTTCATCTTGATATGCTTCTGTATTTCGGGCTTGTTCCTGGCTTCTTCTCACTGCATCTTGCCTCATAACTTGTTCAGGAAGCCTATATATTTCTTGCTCTTTCATTCTCTGACTTGCATCCTGACGTTTCATTTTCTTTATCAAAGTTTCAGACTTTTTCCGTGATAAGGCACTTTTCCTGCAAATTTGTATGCAATGAACTCCGTACGAAGGACTTGTGACTCCTTTGTTCACATAACAACTGAATTCATAGCGAACGCTTGGATTTTCCAGAAGAAAAGTCACTTTCCTAGAAAGACTCACTTTTAAATTCTGCATTAAACCCACTTTACAACAATTTTAGAAGTTTTATTAAAAATTGATTTCGTTGATAATAATAAATGTACAAAATAATGTACATTATTAAAAACGAAAGAAGTACCATTCCTCCATTAAGAAAGCGATTTTGGGAAAAATGTTATAAAATAAGGTATTATTATTTTTTAAATTTTAGCCAGGGTCTATTTCATAACAATTTTCATTTTGGTGTGATATAAAGCTGTTATTGACTTATTTCTTTAAAAAAGGTGGGCAAATGCACTAAACAAACTTTTTTTTTTTTTTACAAGAGATCCACTTGTAATGAAACTGTATTTGGAACTTCCCCTTATGATGTTGTAAAATCGTGCGAAGTTTCATCCAACTAGGACTTAAACTGTGGGAGGAGTTTTGCGGATAAGATAAAATAAAGCTTATTAGTAGAACATTTAAAAATTAAAAAAAAGCCATAGCACATTTCATGTTTTTTTTTTGTTTTTTTTTGCATTTAGTGAATGAACTTATGTCGAGTCACGGGTTAGGTACATTCACTTTTTAACGGTGTTCACGGCCATAAACCCAATAACACTTCACTAGATCAGGTCAAAATTTTTATGCTAAATATTTTTATAAGTCAGTCTAAAGGTATTTATACTTGTATGCGTTTCTTACAAAGTTATTGTGTTTATTTGAACCTATTCGCTCCACAGAATAAGAAATACAAGTGTTCTGCTCTTTTACTTCATATGTTTATCCTTTGTTTTTATTAACAGAATTTCGTAACCATAAAGTATACAAGAGAGTTATTTTTCTGTCTAAACACTGTGGAAGGTCTATTTTGTTCAACCAATCAGAAGAGATAGCACAGATTGTTACACTGAAAAAGATCCAGCAGAAGAGAGAGAAATAGCAAAACTTTCATTTATATCTGCTCTGTTAACGATTGACGGGGAACTCCTTACATAATTTTCTCACTGTTCACTCTTTAAAATGGTTTTATATTTGCTCTTTTCACGGAGTATGGAGACAATTCTTATATAATTTTATAACTGTTTAGTCTTTGGGTACAGTTTTATATATCCCTTGTTCACGAATTGTTAAGACAGTTTTTGTACATTTCTTAACTATTCAATATTTGGGACAGTCCTATATCTTCTCTGCTCACGAATAGTCTAGACAATTCTTTATAGTTTTCTAACTCTTCAGTCTTTGGGACAGTTCTATATCTACCCTGTTCATGGATTGTCAGACAGCTTTTGTATAATTTTTCAACTATTGAGTTTTGAATTATTTTTGCATCTGATGTGTTTACGGATTATCAATTCTAAGAACTTAGGGGTAACAAAAAGAAAAATATGTAATATATCAAACACAACATATCTATCATATCCTAGTGCTGACGAGGCCTTTCGTCATCTATCAGGGTTTAACAGGCCGAGTAGGGTACAACAGTCATAGTAGCGATTGAGGCGCTACTTATATCATCAACTGCATGAAAAAACAACTAAGTAAACTAAGTGAAGCATAATTATTGCCAATATTATTTTAATCATTCACAAATCAAAATTAGGGTAGGGATTAATAATATATTATTACTATCATTTACACCACTTATTAACTTATTTTATTATATTTTAACTTTAATTAGTTTATTACCATTCAGAAAAACAAGCAAGTTAGATCTATAGTCTTCTTGTTTCCGGAGCTGGTCAAGCAACCATAGCATATATATAAAGGCGTTTGTGTGTTTATTTGCACTTTAACTCTTCTGAGCCTCTTGGGCCAATCTCAACCGAAATTTGTATGTAAACACTATGGACTATGGAGAATGTTCTAATGGGTCCAAATTGAACTTAACCCTATTTCTACTAGGGTAATTTTGTAAAGGCTGTTGGTTAATTACTCCCAGCCTATTGAGTCAATCTCAAACAACCTTGGCAGGTTAAAACGTTAGACATTATTGAATATTCTAAAGGGATTTAAATGGATTTAATACTATCTTGACCAGGAACTAACTGGCTTGCTTGGGAAGAATATAATTAAAGCACTGTTTGTCCTTTGAGTTGATTATTGAACAGAATTCTGACAATCTAACGCTAGCATTAGATTTTCCACTATTGAAAACCCTTACTTTGGTTTTCCAATCATAAAAATCGGCCTAGAAATAAGAATTTTTAAATTTTTTGAATAAATTTCCTTTCAAAATTGGTCTTTTTTTGCGATTTTATCTTCTTTTTTCTTTTTTTTTGCCCTTTTATTTGATTGTCTCATCTTTTTTTCTTCTGTGTCAACTTATATCTTAGCTTCTGTGAAATAATATCGTTTTAGATTATCCTTTTCACAAGAAACGGAAGTGCACATTGCACACACACTTCAAACTCAGTTTGTCTAAAGGCATTTTGATAATACTTAATATGCGCTTATTATACATTTTGTGTTTATAATCTTTATGTATCTAGGCATATTAGTTATACATATAACTTATGTTTAATAATTATATATATTTATGTGTAAGTTTTCTGAGGGTGGTATTTACCATCTATAGATTCAGAACAATCAAAGTCCTGTATAACGCAGTCTGGATCCGCGATTAACGGTTGACCAGTAGGCCAATCGATACTGTTTTTCCAGTGGTTATCTGTAACATACAGGTCCTCTCTTTGGTCAACATTCAATTCTGCTGCTGTTCTAAAAACACGAGCACTTGGCCAGAAATCAAGCAATACAAACTTTACCACGAGGTCGCCGACTTCATCCGTTTCACCATGTCCCAGTAATGTAGGGAAAACAGCATTTCTTGTATAAAGTGATAAATTTGCTCCACCTGCCTCCTGGTGAGATCTCCGTAAAGCAGTAAGAAATAATGATAGTGAGGAATATTGGCGATAAAAATTATAAACTTCATCCTAAAAAAGGAGGAAAATATATTAAAAACAGAATGAAAACAACACGTTTTTCGCATATGGAAGTAAACCATTGTTACTTTTGACATTACATTATATACATTATACATATATATATAGCATATGTAATTCTTTTTACTTGATAAAATGACTTTCAAATTTAAATATACATTATCATGAGTTTTATAATTAGCTTTTTTTTTGTCTTTGACTGTACTCAACACGATGGTAATCAAGATTCCAGATTCAGTTTACTCGATAACTTAGTTAACATGTTACGTTTAAGCTGGTAGAGTGCTTATTCAAGCACTGAACTCTACGGATCATGTAATCATTACTCAAACTGACTAACTTAATACACTGAAGATCAGTCTACAATACTCTGTATTTCAACAAACCAGATAAAGATTGATTGAATGCGCTGTTTCTCCAACAATCACTATTAGTTGTAACACATTCCATTATTAATAGAGTTAGTACCAGTCAGCCTTTTGTTGCCGCCTTTCTTACAAGAATTAGGACTAGAACAAGCTACGACTAGCGTCGTAGTAGTAATTACTTCTAATAGTATCAGTGCTACTAAAACCGTTCGCTATAATTATTGATATAATAACTGTTAGTAGTACAGATGAAGCTCGTCTCTATGTCCATAAAAACAGAAGAAACACCAGAAGAATGCTTTTAGACAGCTTGGGATATACACATTTAATAACCACTAAAACGAAAACAAAGAAACAAAAGAAGACTGAACAGAAATACAGGATATAGTTGAATTATGTGACTAGCTTATCGCGTCAAATTATTATCATTGTCTTAAAGACGTGGTAAATATAATTGTATTTTATATGGTAATTTTATCGTAAAAATTACCAGAAATATGCAGCTTAAAATTTTGCTTTACATAGCTTTGTTTCAGCGTATTCAATATAGTGAGACATAGGGCACTGTATCTTTAGAAACAATGAAGATAATGTAAACTGATAATAAAAAACAAATGAATACTGAAACCAGAAAAAATAGACTTCAGTAAATTCAGAATATTTCTAGAATTTTACTGAGCAAGTTTTTTGATGAAAAAGTGTTTATAATCAAGATATATTTGACAGAAAAACAAAAGATAACAATTTTGTAAACAAACTCATTTATTTCGTCATTATGTGCAGACAGTGCAAAGATAACACAATCCTGTCAATCAAAAGATAATGAAAGAAATTCGTCACCGTTCTTACAGTCGAAGTTCCGTTGAGTATTTCCTGGAAAACGGCCTCGTTTTCGTGGCTTTCCCAGACTTCTTCGTAAGTGACGTTCGTAGCCACCACGGTCACTACGAAGAGTGCTCGAAGAATGTCGAGGGACGATGTGGATAAAGTAGGTATTGAAGTGGGATGTAATGTAGTCATCACGTGTAAGACAAAGAATGCGAATCTTCCGTCTGCCCAGCCAAGTTCAGCAGCAGCAGTTAGCACGTTCCTTAACAGCGACATCGTGAGGTCCATACTAAGGATGATAGCTGGAAAATAATAACGCGAATGTATAACTATTGAAAACATATACAAGATGTAATAGGTCACGCGTCTATTTGTTTTTATAATGGGAGGCAAGAGAAATGAAAGAGTTACACGATCAATACAAATTAAGCATTTAACTGTTCGTCATCTGTTACAAAAATACATTTTTCCTCCGTCTTTGAAAACAGACATAATCATTCGTGGCTAATCCAATGAAGATGAGGCATCAACAGATCTAAAGTATCAATTTTAATTTTAGTATCCAAAGATGGAAGCTAGTTAATTATACTTTAAGAAGGAAACCAGCCACCTTATCTGATATTCCCATTCTGGATATATACTTTAAACTTACTTACTAAACAAACATTTTAAATTAGCTTAACTAAACCAGAAGTGAACGTCCCAAGTTGTTGCTTGACAAAAAAGACTTGCCACGCGTTACTTTTTAAGTAAGGCTTTCCTTGGTCCAGTAAACACTGTTTAGTCAGAGTAATGTATCTAATACACTAATACACAAGACTTCAAGACCTACTACCCGTTACTTTCTATAAATAAGGTTTTTCCTTGGCCGTCGAAAAACACTTTCTAGTCAGAATAATGTACATCATACACTAATACACAAGACTTGACTCCTGTTCTTTTCTAATAAAGGTTTTCCTTGGTCGAGTAAACACTTTCGGGAAAGTAACGTACTAATACCATCAGCTATAAGATCCATTGTTTACAATGGTTAAACCTGGGATTTGACACCTGAGCTGGGCACATTGCAGACAGTCCGTTGTATATCTTTTTGCATTTAATAAATTAATGACTCAGCTGTATTACACTCCAGACAGACTACTGATGTACAAATTGTAAATTTCTCGACCTCCCGTTCAGATTTTAGCTCTTTGCCTTGTTGCATTTATTTTGATATATATATATCAGGACACACGGTAGTGTGTCGTGCGACCAAAAAACTTGCAGGACACACTGTGTGTTATTAACAGGAGTGATAGTTTAGTGACTTTCCACTTTCTGTGGCATGGACTGTGGTAATCCAAACTATCACATATTTTCAATGGATGTGCCTTACTGAACACTTACTTCACTTACCAAATTTCAAAGCAATCCATTAACAGATACATGAAATATAAAATCTCAAATTTTGATTCAATTCTTTCCTTTTTTTTTTCTTCGCATCGAAAGTACGTTGACTTTATTTGATAGAAAAACATATTTAACTTTTATGGAGTTTTTTTTTTTTAATTTAGTACACTGATATACCTTTATAACTGCAATTAGGTGTGAAATTTGGTCTAAATATAAACCACAGTTGCAAAGTTATTCAACAGAACCACTCAAATTTGACAAAAAATTTAGCGCACGCCTACGCAAAATGTCACGTGAGCTATCGGTCTAAAATCTTTACTACAATTTCTAAAAGTAAAAATAGACCGTTTTTAGTTTTTGTGATTCGGATTAAAGACGACTGATTTAAGGAAGCAAAACTATAGGGTGCAGGGACGTGCTGACACATAAATATTGGTTAGGGCAAGCAAACTAGATTAGCAGTTTCTAGCTCAAGTTTTCAAAATAATCATAAAGGTGGACGGTTATTATTGATTATTCATTGTCAACTTTTAAGCATAAATTTGCTAACTTTTATGAAATTGTCCTAATTAAAGAGCATTTAGTGTCACGTGATATTAGCTTAAACAATTAACGTGAATAATGATGCTCGATAAGGTTTGATACTGCTGGTGATGACAATATACTGCTAATCTAGATTACATGGCGTTACTATAAAGGACGTTATCAACGCTGTTTTATAGAACTAAAACTACCACCACATATTTTTAAAAAATCTGGTTGGTTCTGTAAAGTATAGGTTTGTTCAGAATAATAGGATTGCGATCCTAAAACTAATGTTGGTTACTATCGATTGTCACTTTCTTACTTGCTGTGGTTTGTCATTTATTACCTTCCACAAATAAAGGCGTACAATTAGAATCTAATGAGGTCATTAGGGATTTAATAAGAAACAAAAGAAAGAAGAAGAACATTATCTAACGTTGTCCTTTATAAAAGTCTTGCTTCCACAGCCAGTTCTTCTGAGCATTTGACGGATGACGTTTTGTGTCGACAATTTAACGAAAGTGTTTTGTTATACAGTTTACTGCTTGAATATTGTATAAATGTTTAATATTATCTACATACTTTGACTTATTGTGCAACAGTCTTTAATTAATTCACTCTGTTTTTGAAAACTTTTTTACTTTTTTTTGGGGGGGAGGTTTTAAGATTTATGAATACTATATCTTTTTTTCTAAATTTAAAAATCTCAATCATTAATATTCATTTTGAGAACAAAATGTAATTATTAATACAAAACAATTGCTATGTTGTCACTTATAGGTATCAATATATATAAAAGCCAAGTGTCGATGGGTGAGTCAGTCGGGCACGCTCGATTTCTCCGAATTTCGTGAGTTACAAGAGTCCAGTTCCACCTTTTTTTTTCTTATAATACTTCCTCTTTTGATTGCCCGTTCCCATTTTAGTTGAATTTATTCGATAACGTTAGCGTAAACAGCTTCTAAATTTCAGCAATTTTTCTGCTATATAAAAGCTTGTCAAGGAGGGCGTTCCCAGAACTAGATCAAGCATGGCGTTATTTGTGTGACACCACATCATTCGCATCATTATGACGTCAAATCTAGGTAGGATCCGAATAGGAAAGCCAGGAAGAATCCTGTGAAAAATTAGCGCAAATCTATGCTTGGGAATTATTACGAAAAAGCCTTTGTTAAAACAGACTGAAGATACAAATTATCTATAGGGAAGAGGACGACTTTTCTTCAGAAGAAGAACAGGTGTGTATGCAATCACATGTTTAATCTTTTACCCAAAGGCACCAATATGTAGATCTTTACACTCTTTAGGTAGTAGTAGTTGCGTATGGTGTTTCTCACACCATATTTGGAGAATTTGGGGGTGTGTATCCGGGAGTAGGACTGGCGTCTTAGTCCGGACACCGGGTGAGCATGTTTTGGTGTGACGGGGATTCGAACCCGCGACCTGCAGATTGCGAGTCGAGCGTCCTAACCACCTGGCCATTCTGGGCCATACTCTTTAGGTAAAGAAGATGTTGCTCGTGATAGGCTTTGGTTTTCCGAAGCTAGAAGGCCCTTTATTTTTCTTATGTCTGTTTAAGAGCGGCAAAGCTGCAAATGGAGGATTCCAATTTTGGTAAGCTTTGGTTTCCCGTCATTTTTGACGGGTTTTTATACTGGTGATAATATAAAAGTCTATCTACGATTCCGTGAAAAATATACACAAGGTTACATATGAACGATATACTCACTAGTAGCAACAACAAACACCGCATAGAACCACAGAAGACCACATAGGACCCTCCTACAAGAATACATAAGACCAAATAATCTCGATACAGTAAAAATTATTATAATTTCTAACAGACTTATCAAAACTCTTCTGTAATTCCATTTGCAGAAATACCGATAACGTGAATTGCTGCCATAACTACCTCATAGAACATAAATATCTCTGTATGGGATCCACATGTTAGTAAAAAGGATCCATAAGAAGTACAAATTGATCAGCATATATATATCCAGAAAGTTTTATGTTTATCAGTAATCAGTAGGCAAAACCTGCTGAATAATTTTAAAATGTTTAGGGCTTATATTTTCTTAAATAGTTTGCTATTTAAAAACTGTTTAATTCCTTAAATAGTTTTATAAATACAACTTTCAAACATTCTGTTTGTTGCCTGTTATTTGATTAGTAGTCCTATCGAGATTATATTCACGATGTAAAACACGTGTTCTAATGTATAAACGTTGTCAGTTTCAGTCATTTTGAATGAAGAAACTCTTTCTTTAGAACATAAAATATCCGGAAGTATAAATCTGGTGAACTGATTTTAGTGTTTCTCAGAATACGTATCATGATATCACCACTACTTATTTGAGACATTGAAAGAATCAAGTCCAACGATTGAATCATGATAAGAAAATTTTAAACTGCTTTCTTTCCAAGCCTTTTAATTTCCCAGTACGAGTAGCTTTGACATTCTTGTAATTAGTAAAAGTAAAACAAACACGCGATTCATTGTGCCTGAGCTTATGATAAACGAGCTAATACCAAATTTCAAACTCCTGAGATGTGAACTTTAATATTCACTGCTAGGTATTTTACGGTTTAACATACTTGTATTCTTCAGTAGCCTCTTTGTGAATACTATGAAAATTTAGTCGCTAAATGTCTTATAGTTGGCGACTGAACGAATACTTTTACTGCTTAAAGGTCCATTTGATGAGCTCTCGTTTTGCGATAAATCCTTTGCAAGTAGACGAAACACTTGTTGAAACACTATTTGAGCTAAGTCCTGGCCTACAAATATATGCTAATCACTAATAGTTACGAAACATCTGCGATGTACCGTAACATTACTTCACCAATTCACGTGAATCGACAGTACGGTATTGAACATATAACAATACTTCTTCGTTGTGTATGTAATATATTGTGCAATAAGCAACTCATAGATTTATTGGATAGATTATAAAGATAATGTTATGTTATCAATATTTCATTTGATTTATAAGTTTACTTGTATCTACCAGTTAATGTTTAAATGTACGAAACACAAAGTTAAACGTTAAATAATACGTGTCTAATATTTAAGGTATAAAGTGTAATTATAAAAAAATCTTAAATTGTATACAATTATGGAACGCGTATTAATGATTAAATCTTACTTCCCACTACTTACTTCCCAAAAGACGGTATGACATGGGACTTCAATGGACTGTATACACTTACATGTTTCGTGAGAATTAGAAAATAATTTAACGTCTAGTCCGGTAACAGTCAGTTTATTTCCTTCTTTAATGTTAATACAAACTTGAACACTTGTTTTAACCTGTAGGCTTAAGTTTTCAGCCACGCTAAATGGTCTTTTATAACATAAACATACTTAGGTGGATAAGTATTA